CAGGCTAACATGTCAGGAATAAATAAAAGATCTAGCTTTTAATTTATTTACTTCTCTACAAAATTCTTTTAGATGTTATTTTCTAGCTCTCAAGTCTGTATCATTATATTAATATATATTCTCATTATCATGGTCGTTTTGTTATTATTATGTTTACCTTGCCCCTTTGGATGCTTTCACTTTAATTTCTAATAGGTCTAATATTCAAAAAGAGCTTCCTGTGCTCTCTTTTGGCTGACATTTGCCTAGTGTATTGTATCCATTTCTTTATTGGTCAACAGTTCTATGTTCACTTTGTTTTACATGTGACTCTTGTAAAAGACTTTGTTGCCTTTCCAATAAAAAGACTTATGACTTCTTTTCTAGCACTATCATAGTTCCCTATGCATTGTGAAGGAGGCCCAAATACAGGTTTTTGAAATTTACTCACTCATTCATTCATTCAGCAGTCAGGTAGTGAATGACTAATGTGTTCTAATGATACCTGAGAAGTAAACCACGATATCAGATACAGAGAGGAACGTTATTTCTCCACTGATCACTTAAATCTCTTTATATACAACATATTGCATTCTATTGCCTAATTTCTGACACTCGTAAGGAGTAATGCCTTAGGGAGCACCACACCAACCTTGCTGCTGCATTGCGGAGGGAGATTTGTTCATGGGAGATGCAACCCTGAGGAAAATGCGCTGTCGCCAGGAGATTCGGCGAGGAGTGACAGAGTTTCCTCCAGCGTTTAAGGACTCATTGCTGCAGGTAGATGATGTCCTTTTTCTCCCTTCTCCATCACTGTAGAAAGCAAATAAATACATAGCTTGTAAGGAGAACCACATAACACGGCACGTCCCAACGAAATAGGAGAACAAGCCATTCACAAGTTCCACTGCGGGCAAGCAGAAGCCACAGGCAACATGGAGCAATGCGTCACCCAGGCCACCACAGTCTGGGACAAGTGCAATGTAGGCCACAGCCCAGTCATGAGCAGCTCACCTGTTTCTACTCATTCCTTAGTAGCCAACCAGCTCTAGTTCTAATCTGAGGAACAGAAGTACTTATAAGAAGGAATAGAGGTTGCCTAAGTAATGATTCCACACTTTGCTAAGGAAATAAAATTAATAGCTTATTCTAAACAATGTAAATATTCCACAAAAGGCTCATAAGGAACCTTTCTTATAGCTCTGATAGAATAGGTTGACAAAGATAGCTTCTAATTGCCTGTGACTGTTAAGATCTATCTCCGAATTGTTAGCTACCAGTAGCTGGATCGTGACAAAGAATAATCCAAATATAGGCAGAACGGTCAACTTTGGGGTTATTGTTAGATGACATTTTAAAAAAAAATTGGGGTAAATAAGATAGGATTGGCTAAGTTTAAAAATATGAAGCAGATTTCTTTATAGCAGAGCTCCTTAGAGACTTAAAATGTTGGCGTGCATTATGACTTTCCAACAGAGAAATATGTGTGTAGAAATCCCCTAACTTATTTAAATGACCTGACCCTACAATCGCGTCCTCCAACGTTGGCAGGGGAAGGTGCTGTCACATCGTTCTACATTAGTGCTTTGTGAAACTCCCACGGGGAAACATTCTTCTGCTCTAAGAATTTCATTTCCTAGAAAAGACCACTCTGTTGTGCTAGGCCTCTCTGCAATAAACAGTCATTATGACTCAAAATTACTTTTGAAACCAACCATGTTTGCAGCTGGAGGACTACACAATTGCTACTGTTAGTGGTAGGAATACTTTACATTTTTCAGTTTCACAGTCTTTGAGCTTTCCTGAGAGAATGATGAAGATGCCAATATTTACAGGCAGTGATACCAACAAGGGAAGCTATAGGTGGGACTTTTGACGGAATAAAGAAGTTCAGTACTTAGGTCAGAAATGACGCTCAGCTAGAAAAGTCACAGCCCTCTCAGACACTCAGAGGAACTCAATAGTGCTGAGGCAACTGATAGTGAGAGGAGCACTTCAACGCCTGCCTGTCATATTTTCATGTACTCTGTGTGTCCACACTTACAGGCAATCCAGTTCTACTCTGGATCTATCTCCCGAAAATGTTACTTCTAGATTAGCTAAGTTAAAGTTAAGAAAAGGACACACCTCTGAGCTGCTATGCAGACAGCAAGTATCATGATGCATTATTATACTTTAGAAAGTACAGTAGCTGATACATACATCTTGATATACTCAAGCCCCCTTCGCTATGTATCCTGGAAAAATCATAACCCTAATATGTCTCCACTGTTCAAAACTCCCTACAATACTGAATAAATATGTTCCCCTTCACTTCCACTTTGGAAAGCATTAATGCAAGTATTTCCCTTTTAAAAACTGTGATTCAAATGTTCTATATATAATAGTTATATCCTGATAAATATTCTTGAAGTACTCAGTATCTTCATTTTTGTAACACTAACTCATTGGCAGTTATTTGCTAAATGCCCAATCAACAGTTATATTTCTAGCTCCTAGGGTAGTAATAGGTAAATAGTAAGCACTCAACAAATACTCACTGAATAAATCAGTACTTTATAAAACAAAATGAAATATTAACTCAGAAGGTTAAATCAAATGAAAAAAAACTATTGGCCAGGCTAACATGTCAGGAATAAATAAAAGATCTACCTTCTTAAAACTCTTTATTGGTAGTCATGATTTTAAGTCTTTTTGGTAGAAAGTCCTAACAGCTTTGTTTCCCAAAAGTACGGACTTAGTTCTGATGGCACTGGTAGGTATTAACCACGACAATAATGTTAATAAACAGAAAAAGGCATCTTTTTTCTAGTAGATGTTGTTCCTTTCCTAAATAAGGACATCTAATTTATAATCTAAGGTTTGAAAGTTAAATGAAATACTTATGGAAAAGCACTTATTCCAATGCCTCACAGGGTGAAATTTAACAAATATCAATTTCTCTGTACTTTTTTAGTAGCTCTAACAAACAAAACTATAGTAACCCAAATCAAAGGATTATGAAATGTTTATATTTTAATGCTGCAATTAAAACATCTTTTAAAAATCACCTTCTGGCTGGGCACAGTGTCTCATGCCTGTAATCCTAGCACTCTGGGATGCCGAGACAGGAGGATTGCTTGAGCTCAGGAGTTCGAGACCAGCCTTAGCAAGAGCAAGACCCTGTGTCTACTAAAGACAGAAAAATCAGCTGGGCCTGGTGGTATGCATCCGCAGTCTCAGCTACTTGGGAGGCTGAAGCAGGAGGATCACTTGAGCCTAGGAGGTTGAGGTTGCAGTGAGTTATGATGACATCACTGCAATTAACCCAGGGTGACAGAGTGAGACTCTGTCTCAAAAAATAAATAAATAAATAACTTTCTAATTCACTGTTAATGACATATCAAGTGTTTAGAAAGTACTAAAAATAAAACTGGGCAGTACCCATCTCAGTTTCATGACGGCCTGTAAAATATAAGCCTTGGGGAAATATGTTATAAAGATAGGCGCCCACTGATACCTATTTGAAAATGTCGTTATATCTAAATTTTTAACCCTGTAATATACATAAACTTCCAAATAACAAATTTTCCTCCCATGTCTTAAATTTGATGGCCAGTAATAAGCCAAGAATTAGCAGTCAAAATATAAGATATAATAATATACTGAAAAGAACTTACATAACAGACCCCTGAGCTTTTATCTTGTACTAAAAAACGACATCCTGAAAAAGCAGTGTGGTTGCTGAGATAAGGCAAAAGCTGCTCTGCTTCATTTAGTAAGAGAACATATGTATTCAGAAGTCAGGTTCCAGGTAAGGGTTTAAACCAGTCAGTGCAACTTACAGCAGTTTACTGTTTGATATACATTTACTCAGCAATCTGACATTCTTAAGGTGGTCATTTCAAGAATCAAAACATATGAAACATTTTGCATCAAAATTTCCATACCCTGACTTAGAAACTACACTGGGATGAGGAGGGAAAGTTTATTTCTTTTGTTTTTTGATTTTTTACTACAACAATAGTTTCACTTTAACTTCTCCTTCAATGAAACTTAGTATGTAGGAAAGCATAATGTCTATTTTTTGAGTGAAAATAAAACAAAACGACATGTGGTGTTTACTATATCAGTAATAGTAAAACTAAGACTCACAAAAGCACATACTTCACGCCAGGTATTGATTGTTCTAAACATTTTACAAGTATGAATTAATTTCATCCTCACAGCAACCTTGCAGGGTGGGTGTTAATTACTATTGCCATTTTTAGTGAGAAAATTAAGGTAGAAAGAGGATAAGTAACTTGCCCACAGTCACATGGAAAATACGTGAAAGAGCCACGATTCCAGCCCAGATGGTCCAGAATCCAGACACTCAGGCACTGTAGTTTATCATGCCAGTGTAAACACTCTAGACATTAGTTCTGACAAGCTCGAGAGGACCACAAAAACAAGGCTGTCAGGACTCCAAATTCCTCTCTATTTCTGGTGGAAAAATCAGTCTAATGGGCATTAAGCCTTTTAGTCAGGTACTTCTCTTTCCATTTTTAATGGAATAATTTCATTTATTTCAGTAGAGAAATAACTTCAGTGTACTATTAAGTGCTTCATTTATGTAAATGTCTCACTTCCTTTTCTTTGCTTTGAAATAACTGCATTCCAAAATGTATATCCTTTTTTCTAAATAAAAGGATCGAATAAAAAACACATTAATGGAGTAGAATATAATATATTCATATTTTAATCATCTCTACAAAAATTATGAAACAAGATATAGCCATTCTCTTATTTTTCCATATAATCTTTTTCCTTCTTCTTTTGTATTTTGGAATATAAACATGTGCATTATAAAATTGCTTCCCAAAAGACATATTCAGGACAAGTATTCTGTGTCAGCATTACCTCTCTCAGAATTTACAAAATTAGAAATAATAACTAGGAAGGAAATACAACTTGGAGAATTCCCACCCATTTTTTTATTGGTATATTCCAGATACGCATCCTATTACTGCTCACCAATTAATCAAGAACCACATCTGTGAACACAAATGATGACTTTATAAGTGGAGAAAATATCCCATATTATGTGTATCACCATGTGGGTTGGGAGGGCTATTTCCAAGTTCGCTGTACACAGCATCAATCAAAAGCTAGGAATAGAATATGATCCTATCAAAGCTTTAAGATAACTTTTTAATACATCCTTGAACAACCACGTACAGCTTTCACCACATCAACTATTAAATTAACATCACACTTCCTATGTTAACACGGAATTTTTAATGCATACTTGCCTACGTTAATAAGAATTAATTTACTGGCTATTGTACAGAATAAAGGTGTTCCCTCTAATGACCACTCACAGAGACACAACTTAAAGAAGATGTAGTTATGTTTTATTTCCTGCCAGGGCAACATAGATACACCTTTGCACAAAGGTAAATTCTTCTGCCAGGACCAGTTTTACGAAGGTGTTGTTCTGCTGAGCAGCAAACTGCCTTCTATCTCCCAACCCTTGAGCACCCAATTAAAACTCCTAGCATCGTAAAGTCCAAATAAATGCACACTGGCTAAACCTATATCTAAATCACAATGGATTACAACTCAGGATAGATAACAATGCTTGATTAATGTGATACCAATTATTTAACAGAAAGCTGGAAAAGCTTTCCCTTTGTAAATGCCTTAAGATAGGGTGAATGGAACAACACAGTGATGAAACTTTAGCTTTTTTCTAAAGGACCCACAGTACAATTTAACTCACAATCGCATCACGTATAGTTTATATAAGTTCTGGTTTCAACCACGTACATACCTGTTATCCTACGGAAAATCTTTGCTAATTAAATAAAACTGAGGCTAAATCATTCTAGTGGAAATCAATATATAGTATCTGAGCTATAAGTCAAAAGAGATAAGATTAGTCAGTAGAATAATGTGTAGAAAAAAACAATAATGAGAACAAAGAATTTTATTTCCTAAACTCTATACACTAAATGCATATTAGAAAAAAAGTTCTGTATATCGAAATTTAAAATGTCTCTGGGTAGCTCTTATGTTTATTCACATTCTTATAACCTAAGATAAAGAAAATAATATCAAGCGAAATATAAAACCTCTCTGAGGTTCAATCTGACCATGTGTAAAATAAGAAAATTATAGGCCAGATGACCTCTAAAGTAATAAACAGACCTAATTCTACACCTGTAGTAGGCAAACTAAAGGGCACAGGGTAAAACTAACATTTCCCTTGGGCTTTTAAAAATAGAGGAGAAGTATTATTTAAACGGTCTTATATCTAATCACCAAAAAGTATAGGTCAATCACAAGTCTCAAAAAAGTCACTTTTTGTCTTATCGATGTGGCAAAAATAATTTTATGAGGACTTTATTTTCCTTGAACATCTCATTCTAGTCCAATCCTTAATACTATGTTTTTACTCCAGCTACAAAGAAATCTAAATGTTAGCAGTCCCAAATAGGAAGATGGGCATGTATGTTTTTCACTGGGGTCGTGATATGGCCCAGTGTAGAAACCAAAACAATGCAGAAAACAGCCTTTTGCAGTTAAGTTGTTCACCAGTGATTCTGGATGTTTACCACAAAAAAAGCATGTGAGTCAAGAGAAGACATTCATCACAGATGCGGTTAGACTTCCATAATAAGGAACTAAGTGTTTTTCTGTGTCCAGACAAGTGGGAGGTCTGAAAGGCTTTAGCAGTGTCTCAAAGTGACCAGCGTGACAGGAATTAAGAGGAATACAAATAGATTAATAATCCTCTTCAGTTGAAAACCAGCTTCGATTTTATGAGTATGTTTCTTTTAGGATGTTCATTTCTGCATCTTCTCGGCATTTGGAATAATTTCCTCATGTGTACATATGTAACCGCCAACTAGCAAATTCACTTCTATTAATTTAAAATTAAAATTAGGCTTTGATTGAAGGCCATAGCATGACTGTAAGGAAATTTCAACGTGGAATAGAGTAGAAACAGGATTTCTGTTTGCAATCAACATTTTATATGGTTATTCATGATCTTTGATTATACCAAGGGTTCCATCTTCCCTACTATACAGACCTCAGAGCACCCAGGAAGATGGCATGCATTCAGGAGACAACCAAAACTGCCTTTTAAACTAATGGTGATGTTCAATTGAAAGAATCTGTGAATTTTTTAAACGAAAATATTTAGATCTCTAATCACCTTGATTCTGAAGTAGTGTCCTGTCTAGTACAACAGGAAAACAAGGAATGGCATTAGCACACACAGTCATATGTTCAAAATCAGGATTTAGAATAAAAAGTCATTCCCATAAGTCATCAATAAGTCACAGGTAAGGTTACTTTAATAAGAAACTATAACAAATAATTATACTATTTTTATCAGTGCATATAAGAGAACTAGAACCAAAACTTTACCACAAAGTACTTTATCAGCAAAAATCTTATTTTCTCACCAAAAAGTTTTATAAGTGAATAGAAGTAATGATTATCATTTACTCTTTTTTGACTATCATTTAGTTTTGAGCAATGAATATAAATACAGATAATTTTTAAAATATAAGCTTAAAACCTGAGGAGCAATTATAAGAAGTAACAAATATGCCTATTGGTAAAAAGAATATATTTAATAAATGAATGTATAAAAATATACCATATCATCATATAAAATTATAGTTTGGCTACTAAACAATGAAATAACATCGAATTTTGAAAAATTAGTTCAAAATAAGGCAAAACAAAAAATACACTTATTCCTCTATCATTTCAGTGCTGTGCAAATAAATCTACTAATCAATTATGCAAAAGATCTTGGCTCCTTTTTCTCAGCCTGCTTAAAAACAGTAACCTGTTAATAATTCAAGATAGTGCTCCTAGAGAAGGATGCCTAATCTGAATTTAAAATTCCAAATTATATGCTTTTTAAAAAGTAATAAGTATTGTTAGCCTAAATCCTACCCTACTCTGTTCCCTACTTGACTATGTATAGAGATCCATTTTATGCAACTCAGATATTATGTTCCCAAGTAACAAAAAAATTATAATTGATAGTATTATGAACCCCCTCCCCTCATTATTCTAAATAGTTCCAGATATCATGGTAATTGTGCATGCTAGATATTCTCTTTGCAACAAGTGATAACAAGAGACATAGAGTTCAAAAACCACTGGATTAAAACCATGTTCTTGAATATCCTTGTTCTTAGGAACTATACCCTTAAGCATTAAGAGTAGAGCGACATGATGCAGGAAACCTATTCACAAATGGCTTAGAATGAAGAAATATATACATGTAAGTATATGTATGTATATATGTAAATGGACAAAGAGAATGACAAAGCAAATGTAGCAAAATGTTAAAAACTGATTAACCTGGATAAAGGACTAACAGGGGTCCTCTATAATATTTTTGCAACTTTCCTGTAAATCTGAAATTATTTCAAAATACAAATAAAAACCACTCTCTTCAAGATTGTAACTAATAAATTTACATTTAAGTGACTTACTGGTTGAAATAAACCTATTAAGAGTACATTTTGTCCTACAATTTTACTACAGTGTAGATATTCATCAATAATTCATATGTAAGTACAACTAAAGTCATGTACAGTAATGGTCAAGACAATACTCTTTTCAAAGCCAAAAACCTATAAACAACCCACACGTCCTTTCACGAGAAATGGTTAAATTGTGATATACTAAACGGAATACTATACAACAAGAAAAATGAATGAAGTAAAGTGCACATAAAAACAGGAACAAATCGCACAAAATAGTGAAAGAAGCCAGACTAAAAAATATATATATATTGTACTGTTCCATTTATATAAAGTTGAAAATCAGCCAAAACTAATCTATAATATTTGAGGTCAGTATGGGGGTAGTAACTGAGTGGGAAAATGACAGGAGGTGCAGGCGTGCTGGTAGCATTCCATTTATTGATTGGGGTGGTGGAGAAATAGTGTTCGTTCACTCTGTGATAATCCATTGAGCTGCGTGCTTATGACCAACTAGTGTGCTTGTCCATGAAAATGTTTTTCTTTTTTAAGTATACTTTAGGCCTATTGATTCTATGCTGTCAAACTAAAAAACTACAGATAAGTGTAGAAAAAAGCACTCTCTGATTTTTGGAATTACAGCCAAGGAAACATTTAAAAGTACAGAAAATAGAATAATTTTTTAATAATCCTACAAATTTAAAAGTTCTCCACATATTTAAATATAGTGCTACAATATGGTGAAATTTTTTCAAACCCAAAATTCATGTATATTTGCCCTCTGACTTTAATATACTTCTATTAGAATAAGGTATAGAGAGCTATGGGAAGCTATGGCAAGAATAATACATACCACTAAGCAGGAACTCCTGAAAGCAAATGAATAACCTTATATTCAACAATATAAATAATCTTTTAAAAAAGAAGTCACCACTTTTGTACTCTACATCCTATTCATGACTAACCTGTGACCTTTTTAATGGCTATTCCCAATTTTCACGTTCAGGCATAGTTCTGTTTCAGGAAGGAAACTGGGGTTCTCTATATGTTTACTTAAACGTAACAATAAGAAACTGCAAATAGATTTGAATGAAAGTGTATTCTCATTAGTAGGCAGTATTAATAGCAACACAGCATACTGATATTTTTATATATGTAGACTCTTGGTTCTCTAAATGCATTTCATATTCCATATATATTATTTTTGTGGCTAACTTCCTTTAAGACTTCTCCCATTAGGTTGTCCCTGAAAGCCCTTTAAAATAGATTCTTCATCTACTTTCTTCACTAGAAATCAAATTCAATGTTTGAACATGACTTCATGCTGATGCAGAGGAAAGTTCAGATTCAAAATTATATTAATTCAATACGATTTATTTTTCTTGGAGTAAAAAAACAGGCATACATGGACAAAAGATACTCAGATAATTCGAAGATTAGTCTAATTTAACTAGTTAGTGAAGGTTATCTAGTTAAATGCTAACTTTTAGAATTTCATAAGTCTAAAAGAAAACAGGCCAAAAGAATATCCGAAAAGGTCTTAGTGGCACAGAGGCTGGCTGATAACACGTGTTCCCTGACTACAAGAATTGCCAATTGCCCAACAACTAGAAACAACCCAAATGTCCACCAGCAAGAGAGTGGATAAACTGTAGTGTATTAAATGGAATACTATACAGCAATAAAAATGAATGAGATAAGCTAGACACAAAAATAGGAATGAGTCTCACAAACTTCTAAGCTAACAGCAATCCCTTTAGAAGTGTTCTCAATTTAGCCCATGACTTTCCAGAGGCTGCTCATATCCACCTAAGAATTTGAATGATTCATTTAATATCATGTATAATTTCAAATTTAAAAAGAGTCAATTCTCCAAAAATCACTACATCTAATAAGCTATATTTTCCATACTGGAGAAAAAAACAAAACAATATAGAATGTCTACAAGATTCAAGAGATCCTTCATGCTCTCTGAGAGTTGCTATCAACATGATCCTGTACCCACTATGTGATGTACATTGAAATTTAAAAAGTCTGTCACTGAAAAATCAAAGAAATGCCTAGGAAATATTCTATATACTTAAAAATAAAGATATATTGTATCTATCACTTTAGTACAGTTGTTTCAATCAGTGGCTCTTGGGTGCCATAAAATATATCTAGAGAAGCTAAGAAGGAAAAAAAGGCATGATCAGGGAAGGTTTGTTTAGTATGCATTAGCATCAGTTCTTGTTCCAAACAACACAAAGCTTACACTCTGGGTTCCGAGGCAAGAAATACACAAATAATCCAAAAAAAAAAAAACATACTTCAAAAAGATAATCATGTCATCAAAAAGCTTTGAAACTACTGGTTTAAAAAGTTTTCTTAATAAAATTAATTGGAATTGAAACCAATATATTAGAAACAGTAGAACAAGCACAACACAAGGATGCATAATTATCACTTCTGAATTAATCAGCCACTTTTTAGTAACATATCAGTATATCACTGCAGAAAATTTTGCTTTGCAAACAACACTGATCTCACCTGATTTCATTTTCATATTGTGGGGAGAGTCTACCTGAATTCTGGTAAAAGCTTTTCAGGAAAGAGGGGGCAGTGAAGGAAGGGGCAGAGGAGGAAGTGTGAAGACTTGGAAGACTGGAGGAAGAATTACTCTCCTTGTGCATGCGTCGAGCTGAAGGAAGAATGCTGAGTACAGAAAACACAGCAAATTTGTCTTAATTTATATTTTGGCAAAATCTTCATTCACTATGAAAAAGCATATAAACAGGTTCTTGCTATTAATTTAATCTTTCCTTTCAAGGCTCAGTGCTGGATCATACATGGAAAAAAAAAAAGCATGCAGTTCTCTATTTAGATGACTATGACCTAATTTCACTCTTTCACAAATTGAATTCCTCATCTATGCAGTATTTCTAACCATCTGTGTTTGTTGCTAAAAAACTCTTAACAACTTTAGGACAAAAAGTGTTTGTTTTTACATGCAAAAGACACTTCAAGGGAAAAAAGTAGGAAAGCACAAATTACAGGAAACAAGTTTCCAGAAGGAAAAACTGATTATCAGCAGTTCAAAGACTGACTATTTTAAAGATACAAACCCTTCTAAATATTTAAGAACAACATGTTGGTTGTTGGAAGTCATCATAATACCTTTGGTTTAACAAACATTAATGTCCATGTTTTTTCCTGAAGACTGCGGAATTGTGCCACTATGGTTTAATCTAAAGCCCAAAATCTAGAAAATTCTTTTTGTAGCAAGTTTTCACAATGACACAAATAGCATCTGTTTATATTGATAAAAATTGTTTGAAATTATACATTATAAAATGTGGAAAATGTAGGAAAAAAGTGAGATATCACTTATAGTCTAAAATAATTGATGTTTTACATTCTTAAAAGTAATTTTTCCTGAAAAAAAAAGAAGAGTTTTATTCCCTTGGGTAAATACAAATGAAGTGATCGTTAACAAAACCTTGGTATATATATATATGAATACTTAATCTCATTCAAATGCAAAAATAAAATCTGAGGATAATTAATTCTGTTGATTAACTTTATGTCATAAACATCTTATTTTTAATTTCAAATCATTCAGAAAACAGCAATGAGAATAAAACTGTATCCTTAAAAGGAATGATGGTAAATTTTGATAACACTTGATATAAAAATTAGCCTTCTTGTTTTACTTCAAGTTCTGCTTTTTTTCCCCTTTCCAACCACCATCCTTATCCAACCGTTTTCTGTATTAAATTCAAAGGTAAAGAAAAGAAGCAAAATTAGTTATAAGACATAAATTCTGATCTGTACTACATAGTAAGTATATCATTCTATAATTCCAGGTTTACTCCCTTTAACATTTCTCACCAAATGTCAAATAACTTTGTTAAATTATTTTTTAAATACTATGTAAGATCATTTCTAATGAACAGTGCCTGTCAATTATGGTATATATTGTCTTCTTTATAGATATATAAAATTTGTAACAATTTTCATATTTAGCTTTAGTTTACTATGTAATAAAATACAACCAAATTATCTCATGTACGAAGGTAATTTAGGTGATTTTTTAAAACCCTGGTATTTTATTCTAGGCTAACAGGAAGTTCTACTGCTATGTTATTTTCAAATTTGCTGACTTTGTTTCTCTAGATCTGTCATCAAGACTGAGTAATGTGCTGTCAGCATGTTTTCAGACAAAACAATTGCATGATATCTTGTTTTCTCCATTTTTCTGAAAGAAAAAAAATTTCCACCCAAAATGCATTAACTCTTCTCTTTGGGTATGCCTTAACCTTGCCTTGTTTCCCTTAGTAAATAAATTAGTTTAATTTTGTGGTGTTTCTAAAAACTACAAGCTGGTTACAGCATGAAGTCACAATCCTTGACTCCAGAGTGATCAAGGGGGTGACAGGAGAGTTGGATATGACGTTCTGCAGACAGGCTGGGACTCACCTGCACTGTTCGATGGAGCTCTGCCTCAGCAGGGGGGAGCGCACGCCGTGAGCCCTCCCGTCCTGTAAATGCAGCTTTCTCTTTGTACTCGAAGGTGGGTGGCTGAACGTGTGTGCCCGTCTTCGAAACTGCGGGGAGTCGGAATCCTCTTCAGGGAATGTTTGCCAAGCTGAAGACAGTGGGGACGCTGGTGGTGTCCCTGGTGGAGAGTCCCCCGGTGAGTAGTCCTGAAATGCAAGCAGGAGGGAGGTCTTTCTTTCCTACGTGGGTCATGGCAGACCTGCCGAGACGCAGAGCTCAAAAGTGACAGTGCGCCTCATCTTCCTCCTGAGTCATGGCAAAACTGTTTTTTTTTTCCTTTTACTCAATCTATGCTGAAGGCTAATCGGTATCACCACAACCCATTTCTTTTGATAAGCAGCTGTAAGACAATATCCGTAAAGATAGGCCAGAAAGTGAAAGGGGTGATAAGAAAAGGTATTCTTTATCCTGACACTGTGGCAAAATGCTACAGCTACTGTACTTTTCTCACTGTTGTCAGAAAGATGAAAAGAGATCATGACCAAAAGAGGGTGGAGTCTGTGTTTACATGTCTCCCGATTTCCGTGACATATCAGTTGCGTGCTTCCTGCACTGTCAAAACAATATCACAATGTCTAAATGTCCAAGTCTCATGGCAAAGCCTTTGGGAAAATAAAATAAAGCCTGTTAAGTATCTTCCTTCACTGTGGATATTTCTATCCGAATACATGCTCCCTGAGGTAAATTTCTTTTATAACACATGAAAAACAGGAAATGAATGAAAAGTGAGCTATGCTGGAATGCATCTCATATTGCATGGGTAGACATCATAAATCTTTCAATTTAGGCAGGTATGTTGTTTATGCTTCCAGAACAGGCACC